TGCTCCAGAACCCATCCAACCTGACCTTTATGTTCTATAATTTATTAGTTCTATCAAATTGTCAAATTTGTGCTGAAATTTGGTTAGATCTTGAGAAAAAAAGAAGTTCATTTCTTTTGCAAAAACTGAATGTTTGAGATGATAAACAGCCAGAAGATCTAAACAGCTTTGGTGTTCAAGTCATAGCAGTCTCAGATATTTTTAATCTGAGTGCTTGGAATAGAAAGCAGAAAATTTCAAAATATTCAGACTGATCAAACATCAAGATGGTGCTCCACAGCTTCCTCAGACATTCCTTTCTACCACACATCAGTAACACTCCGAGCCTGTAAACACACATAGCTGTCCTGAATGCACACAGAACACACATTGTTTTTTACTTAATTGCATGAAAACCTCTGAAGTTTAATGAAATCCATTTGCTGGATACTGGATGATGATTTCACTTAAGCTCAGCTTGAAGTGTAACTGCTGACAGCTGTAATTCATGAAAGAGGTAATAAGAAATGTAAAAGGCAAAACATCACCCAGAAGCTACTTAATTCTTAGGGATGATCCCCCCAGAATCAATACAGCCAGTAAGGGACTAAGGCCTCAGATAAAATTAAAACAGATGATCTTTGACTTCCAAGCATGAAAACCTTTGAGGTGAAAAGATTACTAAAATTGGTATCTCCACTCTCTATATTGATTTAAATGGGATAAATATATTTAAAATAAATTTAAAATGTAAGTTTTGCACAAGTTGGAAGGCACATCAAACATCACCCTCAGTGGATCCCCTGATAAGAAAAAATGAATGACAGGAGATTACAAAGCTAATGCCCATGGATCAAGTAAGGTCAAGGGAGCTTGAGACAGCAGGATTAGAGAGGCAGGATCTTTAATGCACTTCCCCCAAGCACTAATGGAATAATAATGGCTCCTTCTCAAATTAAATGCTACCCCATGTTGCAATATTAATGTGTATGACAGTCTAAGAAATTTTACCTTCTGCTCACTGGGTACAAACTTAAAATAGCATTATGCTGTTGTGAAGAATAAATTGCGTCCCAATAAACTGAATGGCATGAAACCCTGAAATGCCACCAAAAATATGTGAGCATAACCATCAGTCCTTCTAGGCAAGGTTAACTAAAGGCCATAGTCCAGGGCTGAGTGATCCGTGGGGACACTAGAGGAAACTCCTCCTCAAGGTCCATGTGGCAGTGTTCAATTCCAAGTGGGATAAGAGCTCACCTGAAGCTGAAATACCATCCAAGGCACTATGTCCTCATTTCTCCAGGCCCTGAAACTCCTGCACAGGCTCAGGAGAACCCATTCCATCAAAAAATGGAATCATCACTGAGCACTACAGGTCCAGATTTTTCTGTTGGTATTTTCTAGTAACTAAGTACTGCCTCCAGGAAACAAAAAGTATGATAAAATTAAGTCTACAAAGTATATAAAACCAGAGAGATACACAATGAATAAACAGAACTAGTAACTAGTATACTATTTCCTCTACAGCTTGCAATTAATTTTACTGTAGCAGTAAAATAGACCAAATTGTTATTTCAGAGGATAAAAAAAAAGATTGTTTTTGGCATCTACATTAAAATAAAACCATGACAGTGACAACCAAAATATGTCCAGTCACAAAGCAACTCTAGCATGCAATGCATTGGTAATGATAATTATAGCAGTGACTTGTGCACATCACTACCAAAGATCTTAGAACTCAACTGCACCTTTGCCAAAAAAACCTCTACCCTGAATGCTGAGAAGTTCTTCATACTGCAAAAGCCCCTCCAATCTACCCCTGACACGGGAAAACAAAGCCTATGGTCTACTAAGAAATCCTCCAGGCTGTGGTGTGTTACATTGGTAGGTACTTGCCAGGCCAAGTGGAGTGAGCTCATTTAACTCATACCTTCAACAAAACACAACTCAGAGAAAGAAACCCCTTCCTTGTCATGAACACGTGGAAGACACCTGGATACCAAGATACTAAAGGTGTGGTTGCATCTGGAACTCCAGCCCTGCACACACTGCTGTGCTGATTATTCAGGAGAGAATTGAGAGGAAGTAAACAGAAAAATGTTCAAAATTCTATTTTAACTGAAGGGGAAAAAAATAAACAAACATACAGGCTGTTATATGCCACTTGAAGAAAAGTTAATTCAGACAAAGGACATCTCCTACACAGTCCTATTCATGAACTAAAGAGTGGGGGCTGTCACAAACTAGGAAGAAACTGCTCAACATTCCTTTATTACCATATACCCATCTTCTTGCTACTATTTTGAGAATGCTCCATCAGTCAAAAAAAACCAAAACCAGTTATTGTGCCCAGAGATCCATTAGGACCACTTGTGGCACAATGCTTTTTTACTGCTGTAGGTAATGAAGTGCACATTACAAATGAATCACAAGAAACTACATTGAAAAAATAAAGGAAAAGAGAGTAGACTTTTTATGCCAGAGTAGTTAAGTATCTTGTCTTATCCTTGACATCACTGCCTGGGTTGAAGAAAAGTGTAATGACAGAATTAATTTTCAGTTCTCAGTTACCAGGAAGCAAAAATAGTGGAAAGTGAATAAAAAAAATTGAAGAAATTAATAAAACTTTATACCACTTGAAAATAAATAGATATCTAATCTCATAAGCTCTAATACTAGAAACACACAGCAACTGAAATGTATATGGTTATGTGTAATGTAAAATAAGTGACCACAAATATTAAAAGTAATGTAAACTGAGAACCTGAACCTGCACTTTTAGTCACAACAAAATTCAGTGTAGCCATCTCCACACTTCAATTAATCCTTAAAGTCCACTTCCGTAAATACTGTGTTTTCTCCTGTAACTTTTGCAATATTCTGTGTCTATTCAGAAAAAGTAAAACACATAGTTATGCTAGGCATCTTTTTCCTACCCCTTCCTTTTGGTTTTCTTTTCTCAGATGACTGCAGTTTGGATTGTGAGTAAGGAGAGACAGAACTTTCTACATTTGTTTCAAAGTACTATGTTGAATGCATTTTAACTCCTATGAAAGGAGTATAAAAGCATTCAGCACCTTGAAAGAGTTTTGAAAGTATCAAGTCATTATTAACCTTTAACTGATGAATACAACAGTATTATGAAGATGTCTTTTGAATTTAGTCTCCTTTAAACCAAGAAACTTAAAATCACTGCTATGCAAAGTATGGCATTTGGACTGCCCACAATTAATTGCTGTCTACCTAATCTCAGAGTCAGCCCTTAGTCCTACATGCTTCTTAGAGATTTATTCTCTTACTGTGACATACTAGCAGCAGTAATTAGGCTAGTGGAAAGTGCTCCAAAGTACTTAGTGAAACAACATGATGGCAAAAAAAAAATCCCTGAAATTAAGTTAAAACTTGTTTCAGATTTTTTTTTAAACTGTATTACCAATCATTGCCTTGGAAGTGAAATCTCGGTAATGACAGAATGACAAGCTTTGTTCCAGGCAATCTCAGACTTCTATATTCAGAGTAGGTAAGTGAAAAAACGATTACAAAGGTGAGACCAGGCAGTAACCGGGGGCAAGGTTATCTAGCACTTCTCTAACAGTATCTCCTTGATCCTGACAGAGGGAACTGTGACACCAGCAAAGGGCTGGAGCCTGAGCTACATGACAGAGCGGGTGAAACCGCAGCAGCACGCTCGGATTGAGCCGATGGATTCTGTCACTGCCCCGCAGCAGTGACATTCCCCTCGGCAGGTAGCCTCGCTCAAGACTGACTAGCGGGGGAGGACACACACAGTGCCATGGTTTGGAAATCGGTTCTTGGTGTGCGGCCAAAGCTCAGGCTGGAACACAGCACAAAGCCAGTGCAAGTCACTGACACCAACACTGACAGGCACGGCAAAGCCCCGGAGAGAACCAGAGGAGATCTGAGAGCTGCTGCTGCTGCTGCCCCGCTTCACAGGGGGAAACATCCGAGCCACCGAAACCGCCAGCGCTAATTACAGCCCTGCAGGCATCCTCAGGGATTCCACAGGCACCGAGGAATAAACTGCCTCGCTCCTATGGGCTGCCCCCAGCCAGAAAGCGGGCGAGATAAAGGAGAGGAATGGCGTGGGAAGCTTTTCATCTCTGCCGCCTGCGCGGCTCTGTGGCTCAGGGAAATCACCCTGGGCAGCTGCACTGCTCAGCATCTTCTGCACAACCACTGCAAGCCCCATCCTGCCAAACCCCTCCCGAACCCTGCCAAAATTCAATCGGGACAACCAACTTATTTCTTCTGATAAGATTTTCTCCAGAATATTCATTAAAATATGCTTAAACTAATCTGTGTTTTCATAGGTGAAAAATATTAACCGAGATGACAATTAAAAAGGAAAAGAGAATTTTAAAAAGCAGTATGTTTAATCAGTAAATTAAATTAGCTATTCCATTTAACTTGAGTAAGAGCTTGTGAAAATTGACAATTTAAGTTGCAGAGGTGCCATTTTAATGATGTACATTGAACTCCTAAGATAGGTTTTAAAAAGAACACCTACCTAAACACAAAGGCTCCAGTCCTGAAAAACTCCACATCATGCTTACGAGTCAAACACACTCAACTTTAATAATGACTCAAAACTGAATGGCTTCAGATGTATACTTTAAGTTAGGCACTCACAGGATGAGAGCTATAGAGAATATTTTAACAACAAACACCTGTGTGCTGTATCTCAACCACTCACTAACAACTAAGAATTCTCACTGGTGAAACACTTCAATTCTGCTAAACACCTTACTGCTCCAAGCATTTTTACACAGCTGTACAGTACACTTTTCCTAAGCTACACAGCGCCTCTTCTCACTTCTAGCGTTTTTAATAATAATAATTCACAGATTTAAAAGCCTAGAAGCACATTCCACAACACCGCGTATGACACCTGATGCTAAACCACCGTCAGGACTTGCTGTCACCTGGAGACAAACTGTCCTTCGACTCCCTGATGGGACAAGACCTCTACTTCGTCTAAGACTTTGCCCAACACTCACCTCGGCGCTCCTGGACGCGGACGACGAGTTCCCAGGCGGCCACCGCCTCCCTGTCCAGGGCCGCGCTCAGCGTCACCTCTCCGCTCTCTCGCCCCACGCTCACCGGCGACTCCTGGACGGGCGGCGACAGCAGCTCGAACCAGGCGGAGGCGAAGCGGGCGGGGGCCAGGGC